TCTGGTACTAATTAGCTTAGAATCGTCAAACTTTTTAGTTGATGCATCTTGGGTTTTCAGAGAATGTTTACTAAAAAGGAGGTCATGGTGACCTACTTTTGGATATCTCAGGTACTTATTTAATTAGAATCATCAATTTTTGTCAATTAATGTATCTTGAGTCTTCAGAAAATTTTAATCAAAAGGTAGGTCACTGTGACCTACTTATGGTATTTTATAATTATATTATAATATATTCAGTCTTAACTGGTTAAATATTATCAAACTTTGTAAGTTGATGCATTTTGGGTTTTATGATACTAATAGAGTTGGAGGCTTCTAATAGAAGTGATAGATTGTACAATTTATCAGAAAAGCGATTCAAGGCCCTGGGGCCTCTTGTTCATTTTTGTTAATTTGTTTTAAGCCTACAGTATTAAAATTGGACTCATGTACTAGGATTATCATTCTTTAGCAGAATTATTACACTGAATTAAAAGGAACTCTTTTTTCAGGTGCACATGATGCAACTTCCTTGATGGTGTGTAGGCTGTTTGACAACATGTGAATCCAACGTGCATTTCTGGGTAGGTATGTTTACTGTTGATTTTCTATCTTGAAAGCCGCATAAGGCATATTTTTTTCTGATCTCAAATTTTTGTTTAAGCATTAATCTTTATTTTCTCTTTCATGAATTTTCTGCTGAGAATCAAAAAAATAAATAATTTAATTCAAGCTATATAGTCTTATATAGTGAAATTATTTCCTTGTGTGAGATTGTAATTTCAAGGCTTTGTGATAGATTGTACAATTTATCAGAAGAGGAATTCAAGGCTCTTGGGGCTGATGTTTTCGTTAAACACGGACATCCACACACAAATAAGAGGAAACAGTACAACATACTCAAAATGGGTAGATACAAATAAATCCTATGGGAGTAATATTTTAAATTCCTAAGGGATTTTTTTTTAAACTAAGATTATGAAATTAAGAAGAAGATGGCACAAAAAATAATCCTATAGGAATAATTCTCAAATTCCTATGGGAATTTTAATCCTATGGGAATTTTTTTTCCTAAGGGAGAAAAAAATTCCCTTAGGAGAAATTCTTTTTCCTATAGGATATATTTTCTCCTATAGGATTTATTTTTCTCCTTTAGGAAAATAAATTCCCTTAGGAAATTAAATTCTCCCATGGTAAATTATAGTCCTACAGGAATTTTTAAATATCCTGCAGGAAATGAAGAAATCCTGCAGGATTTCGATAATATCCCTCAGGAATTTTATTTTTCCTGTAGGAACTTTATTTTTCCTATGGGAATTTTTTGTTCAAAGGTGATTATCTCACCTGACAGGTGAGATTTACCTGTAACAAAGGTAGTTATGAACTCTGTGAGTGATGGTCTACCACTTGGTATACATGATTTTTTTGTGAAATGAGGATTTGGCGGGCGCCAAAATGCCACTTTTGAAGTGGCATAATAATCCGGCACAGTGTTATGTGTATTTGCATTTCTTTAATCGTACGGAAATCCATTTGTTTTTAAAGCATGATTTAAAATTAAATTCAATAATATTACTGCATAATTTCACAATAAAATTTGCGCTATAACTTTAGTTGATGAAAATGTATTGCAAACATTTCTAAACACCTGTAAATTACACTCAAAGTTGATCTATCTCATGTCTATTTTTTTTTAACATTTGCTTCCCTACGTACAGGAAAACTGTTATGAATTGATTATTCTGTTCAAATATAAACTGTCAGTAAAGTCCTCTTGTAAATGTTTCTGTCTATACTGTATATATCTGTTTTATAAGTTAAATTCTCCCTCTTTTAAAGAAAAGTTACAATTAAAATTCGAGAAAAATCTTGCAATTTAAAAAACATTCACATAAAATAAATTTTATTAATTTTCTGTAAAATTAATAAAGAAATTGGTTATTTGATGTCTTTATTCACATGTATCACATTTCATTTATGATTTGATGTTGAAAAAACTTCAGTATCCCGTTTTAGATATGCCTACTCCTAAAATGAAGGGAAGGGGGTATACTTAAACTTTAATGTATCACGTGACCAGAAAATGTGCAGTATTAATTATTTTCATATTTTTAGGAAGATACGACATTTATCTACAACATATCTCAATTTCATAACATTTCTCGAGGGGCCGCAAAACAGCTTTATCGAAACTCCCCCTTTACAAAGCCAGAGGAATTGTATTGGGAATAGCAAAATGGTTAAAGCCAGTCTATGTGATTTGTCAAACTTTTTCTCATTTTGTTTTGCCTCATAAAATTCACCTTGTTTGGTATATTTATTTAAAGTTTTAGGATACTCTTAGCAACAAACTAACTTATTCTGAAATTTGCTTTTATCTGTAAACCTTTATTACTTAGTGCGATTTGTCCATGTTTGTTATTTTATTGAGATATTACGTAATATTTTCCACGTTTATTTCATTTTCAAAGACATAGGAAAAAGAATTATCCTCATTTCTAAACCCGTGACAAGATTATATGTCTACACTAAAGAAAAATAAAATGTTTCATCTTTCCTTAAAAATTGTATACATAATCTATTTAGTGAACGGTCGTTTTTTTCAATAAATAGCTTTTGTGAATCTTAACTTTGAAATATTATAAATTGTGAAAAAAATGAGAAACATGATTTCACATCTCTTATTGTAATTAAACAAAGGTCCAAAGTTTTTACTACATGGCATTTGCTTATAGTGATCAGCAGCAAATAACACTCTACCAAAAATGTCAATCCCCACTCCTATAATCTTCTCTGATATTTCTATAGTTCCTGTAATCTTCCTACATTCCTTATCAATATTTTTAGAATGAAAACATACATACCTCAATTCAGCCAATTAGGTATCGTCTACCCGTTCAACACTCAATACAACGTTCCACAACCAAGAAAGCAACTTGTTCTTAGCTCTCATTCCTGTAAGATGAATTTGGCCAGTCAATCATGACAGCAGATAGCTTGTTTTAGCGTATAAATTTATCGATGAGAGTGTCATTCAATATGTTATCATCTTGTGACGTGTTGCAGAGACAGTTATGCATTCTTTAAAACCTATATTATAATTAAAAAAAAAATGAATAATAAAACATTGAAATCGGTGAGTTTTCGAAAATGCAGCCGATCAGGAGCATTCAGGGGTTGATTTTCCAATTAACGGCATTATTACATAAACAAGCACTATAAACAGTGCTTCCAACTTATCTTGAAAAATGTTTGAGAGATTGATTAACATTTTATTCTGAATCATCTACATGCATAACAATAATTATTGTATGATTTATTAATATTTATCTTTCTAATTGTCTGAGATCCAACTGTGTGGAAGAAATACTGCGTTATATTTACCTGCACGTGACATTCAAGGTAATTATAAGAATTTATATATCATTGATCTAAAAATAGATCGGGAAATTCCAAATTGATACAAATTGTTTTGAAAAGCTATTCAAAAAGACAATCTTTTCCTTTTGGGGGATGTTTTTCTTTCTGCCAATACAATGTTTTAGCCAACTTGAAGTACAGTATTCATCTCACCCTTCGGGCACGGTTAATATTGTACTCTTCAGGTAGCTAAAGCATGATAATGACCTAAAAAAAATGATTATGATTAAAAACTATCTATGACAGTTGAAGAAAGCTAGAGAGGCACTGTTGAGGTCTCGGCTCTATTTTAGAATATAACCAACACTCTTCTATAAGTTTCTTTTATACTCCATGGATCCTTTATGGATTTTTGACCGTAAAGGATCTTTGGATTCTTAATATTTCGTAGGTCCTGGTGCATATTACATGAAATTTGCTGGATTTTTCGTCTACGTTTCCAATGACACGTCCAGGAACAACGGTTTTCTTTGTTTTCATCAAATACAGAATAAGACTGGTACACCTACAGAGGACCAAACTATAAGCTGTCCGGTAAACGGCCGTTATGTAATATACTACAACGAACGAAGACCGGATGTGACGTATCCAGATTACTATTCACAGTATGCATACACTTATTTGTGTGAATTGGAGGTGTATGGTGAGTCTCTTTGCTTCTTCAATTTTTAATAACATGTTATCCTCATCATAAGTTTTCTTGTAACAAAGTTGAACATTGGAATAAGCTTGTTATTACTTAAACAGGATGCCCTGGTTCTAGATATTTCGGAAAATATTGTGAGCAATCATGTCCAGAAAACTGTCATGAGCTGAGATGCAATATGTTTACAGGAAACTGCTTTAAATGTAAACCTGGATATGATGGTTCTCACTGTCAAAGTAAGTTAGAAGTAGATCTGGAACATTCAAGAGAGATGCACATATTTATTTAGGCGTTTAGGGAATGTTGAATTTGATTCGATTAAAGGAATTAAGAGCCATTCTCTGTAATGATTTGAAATTTTATATGAGCTGTGGCACGCATAGTCTCAGATTTCTCCAAACTCTCTACGATAAAAGTCATTGATACCCTAAACTGAAATCAGGCAAAAATTGGTTGCTATGTTTTATAGTTACAATGGCAACATGTCTTAAAGTTCGGAAAATGGCATTTTTAAACATGTTTGGAGCTTCGTTTAGTTAACATTTGCGGCAAACAAAAAAAAAAAAAAAAAAAAACAAAAAAAAAAACAATTGGTAATGCTGCTTCCAAAAGTTGAAGGTCAGATGTCTAAAATGCATGATAAACATGTTTGGTGAATCATCTATTACATACGTTACTATGGGTTACAAAGTATTCAAAAGTAAAAAAAAAATATTCATTGAAAGTCACACACTTAAAAATAAAAAGCAAATATAGGATGAAATGAGACCAAATAATAGAAAAAAGCGCCTTAAAACATATACCAAGAACAAAATATGATATTTTATTTTGGTTGGCAATGGTTGCCAAGGTTTTTATACCACAGAGAGCCTTCAAAGTAACACTCTGTATGTTTAAATCTGATCCTTTCTTTTCAAAAAGCACATTTCCTCATAACTAATGATCAATTTTTAAGATGTTGGTGTGCTCCAAGTTTTCCCTCTTCAAACAATTCAGATAAGATTCTTTAAATATAGCGTTGCTATGGACGTAATCAGAAAATATATGCTTAAAAACCTGAGAAATATTTTCTTTCCTTGGATACGTACCCTTAAAAGTAGATTCGCAAAATTTTTATGATTGATATTTATTAACAGCTAACTTTACTTTTAATTTTTACTATCATCCAATCTGTAAGTGGATGCAAGAAGTTGGCACACAGGGTTTAATATTGATATAAAGTTCACAAAATCGAACATTTTCCCTTCTTGAGTAACCATACCAACATTGATGTTTTCTTCATCAAATTTTATCAATATATGATGTTCAACTTCAATTCTAACAGATAAGTACTATTCAAGCTGAGTCTTTTAATTTGTTTCTTGATGAAATGGCAATTTAATATCTTAATGCATCGAAAATAAATTCACTTTTAAGCACTGGTACCTTGTTTCCATGGTAACACTGCAAAGTAGCAATTATAACCAATTTTTTCTTATGGTTTTGGTGATGCAAGGTCCTAAGGATGCATATTTGCCTTATCTTGAATTTTCATGTTTTTCTTCAAGACAGTAGCATTAACCCAATCTTAGTAACATGGTTTTGCATGGTTACACTGGCAACAATAAGTTATTTATAGAATAATATTGCTTATACTAATATACTTAAGGTCAAACATTTTCATTGCTATTCTTAAGTCGTTAATTGAGCTTGAGCATGTAACACATACCATTAGTGAATTCGGAGTGTTTTTCAGCATATTTCAGCATTTTAAATGTATTCCAAATGTACACTTAGTTACCACTTACTAGAGATTTTAGCCACAATCAAGATATAAAGTGGCTGAAATCTCATCAAAATCGGTGACCATGCGTGGCAACGAAGTTTAAGTGGTTACAGCTAGAGAACAACTATTTAAATTATTTAATGTTTATTTATTTCAGGAAACGAATGTAAAAATTCCTTAGCATGTTTCTTAAACTTTACATATGAAAAAGTATTTCATATGATATTTAGGTTGTTTTTTTTTTCAAATTTGAAAATTATGAGAATTCTTTCTTTATACGATATTTACGCGATATGCTCTTTTTTAAAAACTCATATGAAAATCTTGTCAAAACCCCTTGAGGTTTTCAGACACATGTCATGCCTTAATTTTTCGTCATTTTCTCGTAAAAAAGAAGATTTGGATGATGTTCTTGTGAAGTTTATAATTATGTAACTTTCATATAAGCTTATTTTGCCTGAGTCTAAACACCAAGAATATATTGTTTCAAAATTTCAAACTATAAGGCCTATTTATTTTAAGATTTTTCTTTAAGCAAAATTATTTAATGTTTTCATAATTTTCTTGAAGAATATTAGAGTCGACTGTACGGGGATTTCTGTAATTTGACTTGCGGCCATTGTCTAAATGATACACAGTGTCATCAAGTAAATGGGTCTTGTGTACATGGCTGTGCTCCTGGATACGAGGGGCAGTCTTGTTTCAAATGTAAGAATCATGATATTTAACGAATCAACATTTTTTTCTCTAAATTTTTTATTCTAAGCCAATAATATTGGTTTCATATTAATCCTACTATAATCATGTAACTTGTAATTGAATTATTTTCCAACGGGAAAAAATTATTCATACCATGCTATTAATAAAAAAAATTGAGGACTTGCAAAAAGATAAACCAATGGAAGGAGTGTGAGTAGATACTAATCTGTTTATATTTTTTTTTATGGGTCGAATGTAACAAAACCTGTGGACACTGCCTTGACGGATCTCCCTGTCACCATGGTAACGGTCATTGTTTACAGGGGTGTTCACCAGGATATGAGGGATCTTCATGTTACAGTGGTGAGTGATTGCTATCAATTATTTATTAGTCAACCTAAAAAGTAGAATATCTATAGATCAGTTTATCTAAATTGATTTATCATGTTCTCTGTTATTTTGTACCATTACCCAGTGCGGTAAGTATACATGTATTAGACAAATAAGCAACCAAAAATGGAAATAAATAGTCATTAGTGTTTAACGACTTAAAAAATTAAATTCTTTTTTGTTATATTGCTGCAAACAGCAGGTATAAAATGAACTTCTTAACAGTGAAATTATCTCAAAAAGCTTGCCACTGTTTCAGTAATATACCAAATTAATGTGCTCATGTTTCCAGAGAGGTCCTTATTCATGACACATTTTTCATGATTTATCACATCCATTTACTTAGTCCATTTCGAAACATTTTAAAAATTTAAACAATTAGGGCAGCATGGAGTTTTCCAAACCTTGCATATATTTCGAATTTAAGAATGTAAATTATATTGAAGAATGTGAAGGTAGAAAGTATAGACTTGGTTGCAGTCAAACGTGCCTTTGATTATGTGAATTGTGATAGAGACTTGAACAAAGTCGTCTGCTTTGTTGTTTAAAGAATGTGACGATGGAAAATATGGTGCAAACTGCAACAAACCCTGTGGACACTGTCTGAATGAATCACAATGTCACCATATAAACGGTTCCTGTGTACAGGGGTGTTCACCTGGATATAAGGGAGAGTTCTGTAAAAGTAGTAAGTCATCAATTCTAATCTTTCTAAATGAACTTCATATGGAGAGTTCTGTAAAAGTAGTAAGTCATCAATTCTAATCATTCTAAATGAACTTCATATGTTTTACGAGGATTGTCAAAGAAAACGCGAACATTTTCAAAATCTTTTGTTTCACTCAGCTGCGGACTAGAAAGTCATTAATTGGCATACATCTTAATCTTCTTTTCTCGAATATTGGCTATCAATTTCAATGAAATGTCCCTATTCATAATATATTCAGCTCCGATAAACAAATCTTACAAATCAGCTGTCGGCGCAACACTGACGACGTAAAAACGTAGCTTGCAGTGTTTGTGAATTTGTTCTGGAGACATGTCTCAATAAAACTCATTAAAATTTGAATTCGACACTGTATTCTTTTAGTATCCAGATTATATATCTCAAAAACCAATGTTACCAAAAGTTTTCGAAGCTTATTCTTTAAATATATATGTGCTCCTGATCATTTTCCAACAGCGTGGGCAAAATAGTTAGTTTTGGTTTTAATAGTTTTTGAGAAATTCTGGAACAACCGTCGAATAAAAAAATATTACATGTGTTATGCTGTATGTTTTCACCAAAAATATACCATCCTCCACCCAATTGGTTGATTTTACAATACTCACGTAAGCAAATATTGAATTTGTCTTTGCAATGTTTCAGTAGTTATAAATTTGATATGAATGTCCCTTTATTAATGTTATTTATACATAGTATATATAAATGTTTCGATATATATCATATTTTATTATCTTAATTTCCTCTAGAATGTGACGTTGGAATGTTTGGTGTTAACTGCAATGAAAGCTGTGGCCATTGTCAAAATGATGGGCAATGCCAACATATAAACGGTAGTTGCTTACAAGGATGTTCAGTCGGGTACCAAGGCGTTCGCTGCACCGACGGTAATAAACATTCTTTGCCTTTATTTTAAAAGTATATACATATATATAATCATTTTATATTTCATAGTTTTTATTTTTTAGAAACAAATGTGTTTAAAAATTCGACGGAAATAGGACATTAATTTTAAATAATGATGCCAGAATATTTTCTCATAGATTCATTCTCTCACCCCTTTTATAGAAGTGAGGGTAATATTGCTTTTGGGTATCATCGAGCCATTTTGACATAGATATGCCCCTTTGACTTCGAAAATTTCCAATTAGTTGCATATTTCGTTCATTTTTTTTTTCAAAAGTTACACCTTTTAAAATGAAATAATGTGTACAGATTTAAAAAACAAAACATTTATACATGTGTATCTAGGTCAAAATCTGTTTTTGTAGAAATGGAGGCAGTTTTTGACAAATCCATGCCCCTTGGACTTCAAAATGTGCATAAGAATTATTTATTTATCATTTTTGAGTTCGCAAAGGTCTTAAAAAATTGAAATATTAATTTTGTAAGAATGTTACGGTGGAATGTACGGAGCTGGTTGTGGTAAAACATGCGGTCATTGTCTGGATAACTTACAATGTCATCACGTTAATGGCGTATGTTTAGATGGATGTTCTTCTGGATATAAAGGATCTCTCTGTATAAAAAGTAAGTAAGTATTGAGGAAGCAAATATAAGAATGTCCACAAATGTGATGAACTTTCATTTTTAACTTAAAAGAACAGGTAACATGATATTGTAATGATATAAAATTATGAAAGGGTCAATATTTTATTATAAAGAAAATGAGTTAAATTTTACTGGTTAAATTCACTTGATCTGCTTTTAAATATGCATACTTACATACAAATAAAAATGACACAATAAATGTTCATTCTTATGTAAAATAAGGGTGTAAGTATGGTATTATAATAACTTATGAAATTTAAATGTTGGCAATTCCTTAAAAACTGTGAAAAAGTAAAGCGGAACCAATATATTAAGGTTTTTATATAAAAATAGAAAACAAAATTTTACATGGTGACCATGCACTGTCTAGATTTAAAATTTAAATTCTCTATTTTAGAATGTGAAGAAGGAAAGTATGGTTTGAACGTCAGTAACAGCTGTGGAAATTGTCTTCACGGTACACAATGCCACCATGTAAACGGCACTTGCTTAAAAGGATGTTCAGGTGGATACCAAGGGATGCTTTGTACTCAAAGTAAGCGATAACTTTCATTGACTTACTTAAGTTAATAACAATGTATACTGTAAACGTGGTTATATTGACGAGTTGAAAAATTGACGATTTTTTGTTCACGAAAATTGACGCGTATTAATTTTGACGAAATAGTAAATCAAGAGTTATGTATCTTTGAATTCACTGGGATACAAAGGCAGCGTCGGATTCTCTTAAAGTTGAATTTTACAGACCATCTACAATGTGCAAGATTGTACAAACTATGTAAAGTGTGTAAGATATGATTAAAATAATTGCCCTCTTGTAATTTGTTTTCTTTATAAGCGGTCAATTGCCTGAGGTGAAAAACTAGGTCAAGCTCGGCGTGATAATTGTGCTAAGTTATGCATACAGTATTTGACACTCTAGTTAATTTAGATTCATTTTTTTTTAAAAAGTGATTATATATCACTGTGTTTTCATAACTAATTACAAAGGAAATTAAAAGTAACTTTGATCTAGTTTTAATATGGGGAAACCCGAGAAAAGTAAGCGGTAAAGTTGTACAATTGCAATTGTATGTTGTGATGCTATATATGATGTGAAGTTTGACGAGTGTAAATTTTGACGAGAAAGGAAAAATCGTCAATAAAGTCAAAATTAGCACACCGTCAAAATTTCCACGTTTACAGTACTTATTTTGTTGGGTAAAAAATATTTGTAGATTTTTTCAATGGAAATGTACTTGTTTTTTTTATTCAAATATATAAGGAAGCCTTCATAGTACTACATTACTGTGATTACTATTTACCTAGGAATATGCTGGGTAAAAAAACGAAGTATTTCAATGCAATGAAAAAGTATCCATAATAAGTCTAGTGTAAAGTTTGTTTAAATCACCCCACCCCACCCCTTTTTTGGTGCAGGATGTGTTTTAACCGCATATATTAAACTTTTCTACACCAAATTGATTTCTATAACCAAAGTACTTTTATGAGCAATGTTGTCCAAAATACTGTCGTTATGACAATAAGATGTTCTTAATTACCTTTATTCACCTCTATACTTGCTCTATAAATATTACAGAGATTTATTTAGAAATATTTTTTTGTATTTTTTCATCATTTACACCTTACATGTATATTATTAATTATAAGAAAACCAGACCTGTAGCACAGATTGTGTTAGTCAAACTTGTCATCATGAATCAGGTGTCTGTTTGACGTCATTTCAGGTGAGCTGTATATTGAGTTACAAAATATATAGCAAAATACAGAAAACTGGTCTAACGATAACTTTTTTTTTCTTCATCAGACTTTTTCGAGTTAAATCCCTTTTTAAAAAAAAAAATTCGTGTTATATTTATACACCTATTATGTTGAAATGGGCAAATGCATGCCAAATAAAATATTTTTCTTTGATGACGGTACAACAGCGGTATTGAGTTCTTAATTACAAATCAATCATTGAAAACAGTCGCAGGTACTAATAAGTAGTAAAAGTTTCTTAAAAACTCTGATTAAAATATTTCATTTTCAATTTATAGAAGAGGCCTGACACACATACCATTGATGACACAACTATC